GGGGGGGGCAGGAGGGGCAGCTGCCCCTCTTGCCTTTTGCTAGGAGGGGCAAGGGGGGCAGAAGTGCCCTTTGAGTTATAAAATACTACCTGATAAATCACATTTCCAGTGATGCTTTTTGGGCAAAATCATCAGGTGTGATCTTGAATGTGACCTGATTAAGTGCGTTTGCTTTCATTGGCAAGTCAACACATAATTGTAGGTTTATATCTTCACCTGAGTCCTTTTTATCGATCCGGCGTCCCTGGTTATAACCACATTTGGGCCGAAAATGGTAGCAATTTCCGCACGCAATACAAAAGTATACAAAATTTGCAAACTTCGCAAGGCTATATTTTCCGCATTTTACAACATTTCGCAACCAAACTTTGCAATTTTGCTAATTTTAGTATGCTCTTTCTAGCTTTGGTGATTTATTTGCATCTCCTTGCCTAGTTTTAAAATTAGTCTAGGATGAGAATTGTCTATTAATAGTCACATTAGTTGTGGAGTAACTTACACAACTTACATGGTGTTGTGGTTGAGTGATAAACAAACGTTAGCTAAATTGGTCTCAGAGAGTGGCGAGGCCTAAAAAAATACCTGTGGTTCCGGTTTTATATCGTGAAAAAATTAGGTCAATTAGGATCGGTAGGTCGGAAATAAATTATTTTTTTGAATATTTTTTTCCATGGTTTTGGCCAATCTTGTTCCCCGAGCCTGCGATCCTCGGGAAGGAAACGAAGGCTCTGGGATAATCCGTTGCCGGAAGCCAGGAATTCTGGCTAAGATTGAACTGCACATTCCATATCAACGGCCAATCAGATTCCTCCCTGAAACGGATTATCCCAGAGCCTTCGTTTCCTTCCCAAGGACCGCAGGCTCAGGGAACGAGATTGGGTTTTGGCGGTTTTTTGCTGGGCGATTTGCAGTAGAGTTCTGACATCAATATTAACTAGAGATGCGTATTTCCTATGGACGAATTTAGGCAATTTGGTTCAGTAATTAGTGTGACAACAGACGCCATTTTGGCACGGTGTATGAGCAGCCCGCAACCACCTGGAGAAAACAGGGTCGCACGGTCAATCGCGTTGAAGAAATTATAGGGTCGGCAGAAAAAAATAGGGTCGGTCGGAAACCGGAACCACAGGTATTTTTTTTAGGCCCAAATAAAGACTATAAGGCTTCTCATTCTTACTTATGCATGTAGAAATAGATGTAGCCATCGGATATTTTATCGTATCTTGCAACATACTCTTTGATCTTAAAGGAAGAAAGAGGATATAAGAAATGGCCCTTATTGAATGGACCACAGTTTACAATGGTATATAGGGACAACAGTTTACAATTGATAAAGCTGTCCAGTATAAATAGAGAATAGTACATGCATGGGTGCGCGGCAATACCAGATTTATTTCGAGTGTTGAACATGATATCTCACGCGGAGTAAGCGCAGCGAACGAGTGAGATATCACCTCTACAAGGAGAACAGTTTAAAACTCATAACGCTC